GCAAATAAAACCTAATACAAATCTAGATGAACAAGGAAACAATTAAGGTAAAAACAAACTCTAAAAAGGACTCTAAATTCGGCCATAAACTTCCTTTCTTGAACCACAAGTAAGCTGCCCGCAAAACAGTCAAAAGGCAGCTTTCGTACTAACTTCGCGCCTTTCGTTCGAGACCTTCCAGAACTCCGATCTTTCATCCGATTCCTTCCCTTGTTAGATAAACATACCTAGTTTCATGTTGTAGAAGCCTTTGGTCTCGAATCAGATCCATGCTCCTTGAATTGAGCTCCAAAGTAGGCTTCACAAAACAGTTTTCTGCCTTAGCCATTTTCTGGCAGTTTTCCAGTTTTGAGGTAGCAACTTTGAGGCCTTGGAAAACAATCTTAATGACATCATCTGGCTCCATAAAGCATACCATTGGAAAGATGGTAACTTGATCTGCAAAACAAACCCTTAAACTTGAATTTCCACCAAGCACATTGAGAGAACCATGCCTCCAAAGTATGTACCCTGAACACGGATTTTGACTTAGCCAAATTCTGCCCTTCTTCTTCCCAACTTTGATAGCTTCTTTGTCAACTAATCGTGACATGAATAGTTGGCCAATTTGGATCATATCATCGGTATTCGGGATTTCGGTATTTGGTATTGGGATACCGGTACCGTACCGATTTCCACCCCTAGCGACAATGAATGCTTCTCTTATGGCAGATGTTTTGCCACAAGAAGTGAGGGCCACTGTTTTTTCCATGGGATCTAAACATGCCCCTGGGTCAGATGGGTTCACAGGCAAATTCTTCAAAACTTTTTGGGACATTGTTGGGGATTCTGTGATTACTGCGGTTTGTTCGTTCTTTTCAACGAGCAGGATGCTCCGTAGCTTCAATCACACTTGGCTGACATTAATCCCGAAAGTTGAAAATGTTGAATCTGTGCGGCAGCTTCGGCCCATAAGCCTTTGCCAGTTCGCTTATAAGATTATCACGAAAATCATGACAGAGAGGTTGTCAAGTCTCCTCCGACAATCATCACGGAAGGTCAAAATGCTTTCATTCGGGAGAGACAGATTGTGGACAATGTTTTACTTGGGCATGAGTTAATGCACTATCTGAAGATAAAATCTCGGGGAAAGAAAGGATACATGGCTCTGAAGGTTGACATGGAAAAGGCCTATGATAGAGTCGAATGGTCCTTTCTCCTTGCAGTGATGTCTAAGATGGGCTTTAACTCTGTCTGGTGTGGATGGGTTCATGAATGTCTTAAATCGTCTTCGTTCTCGGTAATGATGAATGGCTCCCCGAAAGGGTTCTTTGCGCCCACCCGCAGCCTTCGGCAGGGCGATCCACTGTCTCCTCTTTTGTTTGTAATTTGTATAGAGGGGTTTGCGGCCCTTCTAAGGAAGGCGGTGGCTGAGAATAAGCTTCAAGGTATTAAAGTGGCACCGCGATCCCCCCGAATCTCACATCTCTTTTTTGCGGATGATTCCTATTTGTACCTTCGAGGATCTCTCCGAGAATGTGAGAACCTGGTCACTGTACTAGATGAATATGAGGAACTAAGTGGTCAACGGGTCAACCTAGCAAAGTCAGCAGTGTGCTTTAGTAAAAATATCGCTACTCCTGATCAAGAATTTTTGGGTCAGGTGCTGGGTGTAGGGGCAGTGGGTGTCCATGACAAATACTTGGGGTTTCCCTCGCTGATTGCAAGGTCCAAGAAGGTGACTTTCGATATCCCGAAGAGAAGCTCCTTGCACGGTTGCAGGGATGGAAGCAGCGGACATTGTCCTGGGCGGCAAAGGAAACTTTAATAAAGTCCGTGGTCTTAGCCCTTCCTCTTCATGTTATGTCCTGCTTTAAACTCCCCCTCTCTCTTTGCCGACTCTTGGACAAGCATGTGGCCCGGTTTGGGTGGGGGATGGAGAACGGTCAGGGTAAAATTCACTGGATGTCGTGGCGGAACATGTGTCGTAGTAAACATGAGGGAGGGATGGGATTTCGCCGGTTCGAGCACTTTAATCAAGCTTTGTTAGCTAAGATTGGGTGGCGAATTTTAAATGAACCAGATTCATTGCTGGCTCAGGTCTATAAAGGGAAGTATTTTCCAAGGGGAACTTTTCTTGAGGCGAAGGCGCGATCTCGCCCCTCCTGGGGGTGGCAACGTATTCTTTTTGGACGCCAGCTGTTGGAACAAAGGCTTCGGTGGCAAATTGGAAATGGACAATCGGCTCCATTACTAGGGAGTAGTTGGGTCCCAGCCATGTACCCTATGGTCCCTACTTTTAACCCTTGTGTCTTGCCTGCGGATGGGGAGTTACGGGTTGCTGCGGTTATAAACTCCGACGAGGGAGGCTGGTGTGACTCTGGGTTAGCCCAATGGTTTGATCCCACCACTTGTCGTGCCATTAAGGAGATTCCGCTACCGCGTGATAATGTTGAGGATCGTTTAATTTGGCATGGTACCTCGGATGGGTTATTCACAGTGAAAACAACGTATCATTTGGCGGTCCAGTTGGACAAGAAGGATGCAGGTGGCGATCTTTAGCTAGTTGGATGGACAGATCTAGTTGGATCAGAATCTGGGCAGCTCCGGTTCCTCCCAAGCTAAGGGTCTTCCTCTCGCAAATCTTCAACCGGCTGCTTCCCACCACGGAAGCTCTGAGAGAAAGGAAGGTCCAGGTCCATCCCCGGTGCCCAGTTTGTTTGTCTGACTCGGAGACCGTGGATCATATGGTATCTTCTTAGTTTTTAATTCGTTTTTGAAAACGTTTGCACAGAAGGAACGAGTTCATCATGATCTATTGGATCTACAAATTTCTGGGATCTATTCAATCATCCTACAGTCTTGGTTTGTTCATACCACCATGTACGCTTTTCAAATCATAGGTATGGTCTTATTTCAATACCAGTCAATACCATATGGTATAGACTGATAAAAAATGACTCAATTTTTTTTTTGTTTCAAAAATATATCAAAGTGGATATCATTTTGAAGAACACATTTAATCTGATTTATCTGTGCGAACAAATTTAAATTTCGACTTAAGACGAAAGAGAAATCGTCCATTAAATATTAAATGAGAAAAGATAAAAAGCTTTCCAGAGAGGGGGATGCTGATGTCATGCTGATGTGGACGGGTAACTCATGGTTACTCACCATAAGGTTACTCAGCCGATCTGCTCCCGTGACAGATAGGGATGGCAATGGGTCGGGTTGGGGCGGGTTTTGTCAAACCCAAACCCAAACCCATGGGTTTATCTGCCAAAAAAACCCGGGGTAAAACCCGCTGGGTTTGAAAAACTCAAACCCAACCCAACCCGCTGGGTATCCGCGGTTTCATGGGTACCCGTGGGTTTTTGTGGTAAAAAATTTACAATAACAAGTTTCTTTCAAAATAAAAGTTTAACATCAATTTTCTCATACAAATTATTCATACAAAAAACACCAATCTAGAGCATACAAGCAAACCGCAATTGATCAATACAAATTGTTCAAAATTAAAGATAAACATCTATAAACAATAAGATTAATTGAAAGCTTCTTCCTCGTCAACTAAGTTTCTTCACTCTCCACTTCATAATATCAACTTCATTCTAAACAATTAGAAAGAACAAATTATACATGTCTCCACAAACATAAAGTATTTAATTGTTTAAGGAATATATATTATTTAGAATATTAAATATACCGGGAAAGTAATTATATGTGTGGGCGGGTACCCATGGGGCGGGTTTACCTAAATCCAAACCCAACCCGACCCGGTGAATAGTGTAGCGGGTTTAAACCCGAACCCGGCCCAAAACCCGTCAACACGGATTTTACCCGCGTTGACCGGGTTGGGTCGGGTGGGTACCCGTGGGTTCGGGTTTTGTTGCCATCCCTAGTGACAGAAGCACAGTTACCCCTGGAAACGGATCAGGTCAGTAACCTTATGGTGAGTAACCATGAGTAACCCGTCCACATCAGCATGACATCAGCATCTCTCTCTCCTAGAAAGCGTTTAATTTTCCCCTCTTTAATCTTTGACGGACGATTTCTCACTCGTTTTAAATCAAAATTTAGTTTTTTTTGCACAGTTAGATCAGATTAATTGTGCTCTTTAAAATGATATTCACTTTTATATATTTTTCGATCCAAAAAAATTGAGCCATTTTTTACCAGTCTATACCATATGGTATTAACTGGTATTGAAATAAGAGCATGCCTATGGTTTGAAAAGCGTATCATGGTGGTATGAACAAACCAAGACTGTAGGATGGTTGAATACATGATCTAAGGATGGAGAATTAAAGGCCTCTCGGTACCAACTGCATACCATATGGTATCTTCTTAGTTTTTAATTTGTTTTTGAAAACGTTTGCACGGAAGGAACGAGTTCATCATGATCTATTGGATCTACAAATTTCTGGTATCTATTCAATCATCCTACAGTCTTGGTTTGTTCATACCACCATGTACGCTTTTCAAACCATAGGTATGCTCTTATTTCAATACCAGTCAATACCATATGGTATAGACTGGTAAAAAATGACTCAATTTTTTTGTTCGAAAAATATATCAAAGTGGATATCATTTTGAAGAGCACAATTAATCTGATCTAACTGTGCAAAAAAAATTAATTTTTGACTTAGAACGAGTGAAAAATCGTCCGTCAGAGATTAAAGAGGAAAAGATTAAAGGCTTTTCAAGAAAGATGTTGATATCATATTAATGTAGATGAGTTACTCATTGTTACTCACCATAAAATTACCACCCGATCTGCCCGTTATGCACCCTATTTTGATCAGTTACCCCTATTAAGTAAGTCCAAACTCCAACCCCGCCGACTAAATTACCGGCCTCAACCAAAACTTGTCCTTGCTATTTTTTCCCATTTAGCTCCTACACTAGATAGTTTTGCCAAAGAAGTCCATATAGTCTATGGTTTACCCGTTTTCGGTCCTTTTTTAAATATTGCAATCTACATGATAATCCAATCCTGAAGCCAGCAGATGTTAAGAAGCTGATTGTCTAATGGCAACTGTTAATAGTTAACATACCGCCGCCTCCTGCAAGTTCTGATGTGTCCTGAAAACCTGTTTAGTTACCACCTGCTTCTTCAGTCATTTCCCGCCATTCAAACCTCGAAAGAGCATTTCTAAGTTCTAACTCAGCATCAGACTAAGTCAGTTTTTATACATACTTGTACATCAAGTCATCAAACCGCGACATATTATGACACATGACGCTATGTTGGTTTGTATCTCATTACAATACCAAGACTAAATATACCCTTTATTCTACAGATATAGAAAAGTATTTACATCTTATCCTCTTGCCCTCTTCCCGGATCAGAAACCACTGGTTTGGACACCTTGCATGCTCAGCACTGGCAGACTTTCCTTTGGGATTTGCCTCATTCTCAACATATTGCCATACTTCCTGCATTACCTGTACACTTCTACATCCCAAAACATGGACCAGCCTCAAAATGGTCCTCAAACACATCACTAGCGTTTGCAACTCGTCCTATGTCATGCAGCACTATAATCTCGAGCGGCGGAAGCGTTTCAAGGCCTGCAGATGAGAGCGCTTACTTGCAGAAGCAACAGGTTGTCCATTGAGGCATCCAGAAAACCTAATATCCCATCCATCCACATACTTGGGAACACAAGCATCGAAGAGCACTTGGCCAAGAACACCATGAGGGCTTATCCTGGGGGGGCTGCTTAGGTTTATAGAGGAGTTCTCTTTCCTTTCATCTTGTGGAGATTCTGACTCTTTATTATTCTGGTCTTTGGAAGAACTTTGTCCAAAGAAGTCATCATTGGGCAGAACCGGTGGTACTCTTCTTAATCCTTCATTTGAGTCGACTGCCACTTGCTGAAGGTCGCATACTAAATTGGATATTTGGTGATGCATACCATCCATCTTTAGTCCCTCTTGGAGTTGTTGGATTCTTTGGCAATAAACTGATGTGGCCTTCTCTAGCAAATTGGTCACTGCTGTGCTGTACGTGGTTGGATGATACTTGTAATGACCTGGGAAAACAATATGATACAAAATTATATGAATATGGTGCGAATGGATCACTTAGAAGTAAGAAACAAAGAACCAATCATTTTTAAGTATCACAGTGCCTATATATTCCAACATGTTCTAGTGAAATCATGAAAAAACAGAAGCACAGAAAGAAAAACTAACGGGTTAAATATAAAGTATTCTTTTAAGAGACCTGCTTGGTGTTCTTGAGCCAACAACATGCATTTTCCATGAGCCGGTAATCAAGAGAACAACAAAAAGTGTTTTCAGGTTCAAGTGCTGAAGACTCCTGTGATATCTACTCTAGCCCATTTTCAGCCTACAGTAATACCATCTTTCAATCCATAGTGTCATTTCTCAAGCAGAACATGTTCAAAAGAACAATTATGACTCTGTCGATGCCTACTTACAGTACTTAATGATATAGACATAAGATGGCTAGTTATCAAGGAATGAAATAAATTCATAATAGCTTGGGAATAATCAACAACTTGAGGTCCCTTGCTCTTATGAGCACAGCGGCTATCTTTTAGCTCAGTCGCTACCCTCTACTAAAATCATGGCATAGCTGATCATATAGAAGACTACAGAAGGAAGAGAATACAAATCAGACCTAGGTGAGGAGAAGCATTCAACTTCACAAGTGCAACATCAGCCCCAAGTACTTGTAGTTGATGTTTGAATTCACAGATAACATTGCAAGGTGCAATCTCATCATCAGCTGAGCATAAAATCAGGTATGGGGCTCCTAACTCCTGAAAAAAGAGAGAGCGAACACATATGAATCATTACGAAGTGGGATAAAACAGAGGCTTCAAGCACAGAGTTAGTTCAGGTTTCAACTTACAACTGATGAGTACAGATTCTGCCAATACTGTGTTCGTTGGTACTCAAGCCTGGTAAGGTACAAACCATCAAGACCAGAAGTGACCCCTTTTGCAAACCAAGACATGAGTTTTGACGGGCCGGGCATTTTCTGAATGGCTGGAAGAGCAAACCGGGCAGCCAAATCACTCGTAAAGTCTACTGGGCTAGAATCATAGATATGGCCAGAAAAGCAGTTTCCGATTAAACGACTTTCATCCTGCACCAAAAAAGTAAGCAATTAGAACAAGAGGAATAAGGGAAAATATGGTACGATGGAGATTCAACTATTAAGCAAGGAATATACCAGGTTAAGATGACCTTCACAAGAACCTTGGATGATCTGCAAGACATATGATAAGGTTGAGTCAATTAAATCAAGTGAAAAAATGACAACAGCCAAAAAAGGAAGAAAGAACAAAAGAAACAGTTTATGGACCCATGCAATCAGGATTCTGAAACATCAAGAATAAGTTCTCTTTTCCTTTCTAAGAAACTGTTCACTGAAACACTCACAGAGCCTACCTGAAAAATCTTGGACATGCAAGCTTTTGAACCACCAGAAAGAGCCACAAAGACAACTGGACATGGCCGAACCCTTAGCTCCTACATACATCAGTTTGATGGTGAACAAATATTTCAATTCATTCATCAAATTTGAAAGAAAGAACGAAAAACATCTGAGGAACTCCCATGTTCTACGACCATGATGATGACTGATCTAGTGAGGGCCATACTGAACAAGACAGGGGATTTCGACATTGACATACAGCTCATGCAAGGTTCCACTCCATACAATGTATTTGAGATGTAAGCCTAGAATCCTAAACTATGACCCATAAACCAAGACAGTATGTAAGTTAGCTGACCTGGACAAGTTCACTGAGGAGAAGAAACGCCAAAGAAATGGCTCTCTCAGGATAAAACCTGCAAAAACAGAGCATCATCGAGCATCAAGTGTACTATCTAGTTCCTGAATGCAGAAGAGACGAATCAAAAAGACGTAAACCTGCAAGCTTCACAGACCCACCCAAACTTTCAGAAATCTAACACCCTTATGGTACTATTCTTGGTAGACTAGTATAATTCTCTAAACTTGAGTCAACCCTAACCACACTAAGTATGATGTTCATTTGCGTTTTCCCACATAACATCCTGAACCTTGCAAGCCTTCTTTTCAGCTCAAATTCACCCCCCTTTCATGTTCCCAGAACACAAACAGAGCCGTAAGAAAGAAACAAGCAAGCAGATTCAGAGAGAGAGAGGGTTACGCGGTGAGGAAATCGGCATGGGAAACGAGAGAATTCCAACCGAGAGAGGAATACAAATCGACAAGGCTCCTCAAATCCCCAGGGTGAGCGGAAACCCAAGCGAATATCACCACAATCCCTTTGAATTCCCTCCTCCTCCTCCCCCAATAAACACTCCCTCCTCCGCCGCCGAACATTGCAGAAATCGTAGCTGCAGCTACTAGCGCTGCTTTGCTTAAAACCAGAGCAGGAAGCACGGAGGAGAACTCGCTCTCATTCAGGTTCAGCTGAGGATGAAGAAGAAGATGAAGAAGCGATAGGGAATGGCACTAGGTGGGCTATTGCGTCCGGATTTGGTGAATTTTTTGGAGTCCGTTTTTTGTTTCCGGGTTTTCTCTTGTTTTCTGTTGTATTCTGGTTTTGGTCGCAAGCGCTCATTTGCGGAAAATATGTGGGCTCCAGTGATGGTGGTGGTGATGAATGATAGTGATCCATCAGTTCGGGTGGGGATGAATTTTTATTTATTTTAATTTTGCTTTCTAATAATTTTTGCAGTGCCTTGCCACGGATAATTAAAATTAGGCAAAATACACTTTCATAGCCAAATTTATTCGCGTTGTGACAAATATAGCCAGTTTTTGAAAAATACACTCGTATAGCCATTCCGTCCAAAACTTTAACGGAAATTTGACGACTGCTGACTGGACTAATGGACGCTTGCAACGTGGACGCTGTTAATCTACGTGGCAGGACAGGTGTAAATTGTATATTATTTTATTATTAAAAAAAAAGTAAAACCCTAAATCTACGTGGCAGATTCCTCCACCTTCCTTTCTTCTTCTTCTTCGTACATCTCCGATTGAGCAACTAAGACCCATCTCATCTCGTTAAACCCCTTCTCAGCCGTTGTCGCCGTCCACCATATTCACCCCTGTTGAAACCCACAAAACCCACAAATATGCAGCCGCCAGATTCAGTGATGCCGGCAAATCTAGGCGCACAAGGGATTCCGTCATTTTGCTCTGCTTTAGCCCTCGCGTCGGCCCTCCATCCACCGTCGGCGACGTCGCCTCGAGTACCGGTAGATCCAGTCGAACAAGGGCCTCTCTAGCGTCAACCGTTGTCGATATAAATCTCCGAACCCACCGCTAGCGCGAATCCATCTCCACCATTGATTTTGAATCCTCGTCCCTTCTTCCTGATTTTGGGATTCAAATTCCAATATGCTTCTTCGTTCTCGGCAAGAAATGCAACTGAGCTTGTTCTCCCACCACCAAATAGCTCCAGATCTGGAGATTCAGAGGACGAGCAGATGGTTGGGTCTTGTTCTGGGATGCCCTTTGTCGCTGTCGCTTCTGGTTCCGATTAGGTGTAATCAAACGCCTAATTCGTCGCCTTTGGGACACCTCAGCTTAGCCCTCCCCGGATCTTAGTCAAGTTTCGTCGACTCTACTTCTAGCTTGCGTGGGAGATTCTCCCAAATCTCAGTGCTGGTTCTTGGTTGATTCAAAATTGGGGTTTATGAACTTGTCTCTGCTTTGATGTGTGAATGGCTAGAAGAAGATGATTTCCTCTGTTTCTGGCGTGAGGAAGAAGATGAAGGGGAAGATGATTTCCCCTGATTTCTCCTCCAACCCAATGACAAACAGAGGATGAAGCCGACAACGACGAGATCGGCGGCTCGGGGAAGAAGAAAAGAAAGAATTGGGAGAAAAATTAGATCCGAATCTCTGCTCTCTCCATGGGAAAGGGGAAAGGAGAATTGGGAGAAAAAAATTAAATGATTTTTCATTTTGATTAGAATAGTGGTGAAAAAATAATTAAGAAAATTATTTAAAATAATAATTTAAACTGAGGTGGCTGACACATGGCATACATTTGATGACGTGTACATCCACATCATTGAAGAGTTAACGGTGTTAAAGTTTATAACGGAAATGGCTAAAGTTGTCAAGCAAGTTTTCAAAAGTGGCTATACGAGTGTATTTTTCAAAAACTGGCTATATTTGTCACAACGCGAATAGATTTGGCTATGAAAGTGTATTTTGCCTTAAAATTATATCGGATGTGCCATGTCAACTCATATTATCATCACCAGCTTGAGTGTGCGAACATCATTATTTTAAGCCTAATACCGGGAAAAGACAACTAGTTTAGACTTTGTGCCATTTGTACTTCTATATTTATCTCGGGTTAGTTATGTCCCAACTTTTACACTATGTTTCCGAAGGAAAGGAGGAAAAGGAGGGGAGGTGAAGGAAAATTAGGAGGGGAGGGAAGATTTGGAGGTCAAGGAAATTAGGAGGAACATGTTGTTTTATGGAGGAAAGTGAGAAGGAAAGTGTGCATTGGGAAGTGTGATGATATTATTATTTTATTAGTTGTATAATAGTAAAATAATTTGATTGTATGTCAATATTCTTTTTTTTTTTCGTTGAATCAGGTACCCTCATCTTATTAAAAGAACTAGCAAGATGCTAGGAGAAAACTAGATACAACGAAAGGGGTATCACAGCGACACCCCAAGAATCTCTAAAACACGCAACCAACTACTACAGAAGGAGAGACAATAGCAAATACTAAACAAACCCAACTACATCACAAAACCCCAAGACCTTCCATTTCCTCCAAGATACATGTTGTTGCCCCAATAGTTAACAGATCTTGCTTGATCAGAGCCTGCAAGTCCGCGGGAGAATGCGAGGTCCCAGCATGCTTCCTTCGACAACGTTCCTTCCATATTGATGCCACCAGAAAGCACCAAATAAGCCCTGCAGTAGCGCCATTTTTCTTCCTGCAGAATGAGCAAGCAGCAGCGACAGTAGCTGACCAGGATGCACAACACATGGGCAAAGAACACACACCCTGCACCACCTCTCTGGAATACAGGCATTGGAAGAATAGGTGCTCACGAGTTTCCTGCCCTTGCCTGCATAACACACAAACATCATCCACGTCTTTACCCCATTTCACCAACTTATCAGAAGTAACAATGCCATCAAGCAGTATCAACCAAACAAGAAAACTGTTCCTGGGAACAAATCCATGCCCCCATACCAGTTTGTGCCATTCCACAACAGGCCATTTAGGCCTAATCCCCTCCCAAACAACACCTAATCGAAACCTGGGCATGGGAGCGTGATCCCAAAGTACCACCCCTCGCTGCACAGAGAAATGCTGCTGCAGGACCTGTCTTGTCTTCAATATCCTGCGCCAGGCCCAGGAGCCACTAGAACCAGACTTCAATGTCCAGATACAACCTTGTTTAACCCTATAGGTGATGATCCATGCCACCCATATAGTCCCACTCTGCATCAATATTAACCAAAGCATTCGAGCCGTGCAAGCTTGATTCCAGGAGTAAAGCTCTTTCAGCCCTAATCCCCCTTCTTTCTTAGGTCTTGCCATCCTATCCCAGCCTATCTTCGCCTTTCCTTCGTCAGCTCCGTGCCATAAGAAGTTGGAACAAATTTTTTGCACCTGCTTCAGGATCTTCTTAGGGAGCAAGAAAACTTGCATCCAATACTGCAGTACCCCCATAAGAACAGAACTGACTAATTGAAGCCTACCAGCATAACTTAGTCTCTGAGCTCTCCATGACTTGATTTTCTGAGTGATTTTGGCTACTAATTTTTCACAATCAGCAGCAGACAACTTCCCAGATATCAGAGGAAGCCCCAAGTAACGCACTGGGAGTATCCCCTCCTGAAAACCAGTCACTAGAAGAGCCCTACTTTTAAACAGCACTGACAATCCACCAAAATAGACTTCACACTTTGCAGGGTTACATTTCAAACCAGACATGGTATAGAACTCAGAAAGAACCTCCTGCACTTTAGAGATAGCAGTTCCCGACCCTTCAGTAAAGATTAAAAGATCATCAGCAAAACTCAGATGAGTTAGCTTCACTTTTTTACACTGTGGATGGTATGGTAGGTGACCTAGAGCTGCAGATTCATTCAACAATAAAGAAAGCCCCTCCATGGCAATGGTGAATAGGTAGGGTGAAAGCGGGTCACCCTGCCTAACACCCTTCTGAGCCCCAAAATATCCACAGAGCCCTCCGTTGATACAAATACTAAACTTGGCAGTTTTTACAGTCAACTTAATCCAGTTAATAAAACATGTAGGAAATCCCATTATCTCCATCATTAGAAACAAATAAGCCCAATTGACTGAATCGAAGGCTTTCATCAGGTCTACTTTGATAGCACAGCGGGAGGAAAGATGCATTCTATGATAGCCACTAACTAACTCTTGTGCCATTAATATATTATCCACTATCATTCTTCCTGCTATGAAAGCTGATTGATTTCCACTCATGACCTTAGGGAGCACTGATTTTAGACGATTTGCCAACACCTTAGCAATAATTTTGTACAAAATATTAATGCATGAGATTGGCCTATAGTCTTTAAAAGCACATGCAGAAGGTACCTTAGGGAGCAGGGAAACGGCAGTGGCATTGACACTACCTGGTAAACGTCCTGAAGAGAAGAAATCCTTCACACCCGCCAGGACTTCATTGCCAATAATAGGCCACGCCTTTTTATAGAACCCTGCTGAGAATCCATCAGGGCCAGGGGCCTTGTATGGATTCATGTGAAGAACCACAGCCTGGATTTCAGCTTCTGAAACAGGAGAGACCAGGAAGGCGATCTCTTGATCACCAAGTTTATTACGCACCAATAATTCCATCCTGTCTCAGTCACAGTAACCACATCAATTATTTTTTTATGATGATTAATCAAGCATTCTAAATCAAATAAAATTTATTCAACTTATATTATACAATGTTTAAAAAACACAACCGTACCGGCCGGTCGAACAAGAAAAATATCGAATATCGGACCCAAAATAGGAGGCGATTTTCGCGGTAGAAAATGATTGAACTATAGTTAAACCACAGTTTTAGTACAAAATACCCTACTTTCCCGGAATAAGTATAACCTCCGGCACGATTTCACATTAGAAGCCCTTCTAGTTCGTAAATAACACTTGCCATTAGTAGACCATGAATTAAACCGAATTTGGGGTATGATACTATATATACTGTAACGTCTAATTGATAAATCCCAAATCCAATTCTCTAAACCCAAACTCGAAGTTTGAATTTGGGGTATAATACTATACTTTTGGAAAATACAAGTTATTACCATATATATATATATATATATATATATATATATATATATATATATTATATTATGTCAAGCAAGACTTGTTGGAATATACAAGTTATTACCATATATATATATATTATATTATGTCAAGCAAGACTTGAAGTATTAGAATTTAGAAGGATGTGAATATACCTCCATTTCAATAAGATTTTGAATCATCGTCTTTGATGGTTGAAGTCCATCCCGCAAAAAGTTCTCAATGACTTCACCATATGTTTTTTAAGAACACGAAACCGCTGCACCTTATTGCC